TCGCTTTTTTTATTGCTTTTTATCCTTTTGCTTTTCTTCTGTTGAATATGAATCTGTTCATTTGTGTACGGTGCGAGAAACTGTTTTTGCTTACATCTGGCATCTTATACCTTCCAGGGTGGCCCTTGCTTAAGCCGAACCCAACTGATTAGAAACCAATAAATTAGATCAGCAACAAACCACTATCTGCGCGGAAACTTTGAGTATAACATTTTTTATTAGAAACTTGGACTCATTTTACTTCTAAGGGCAGGGTTGTTGTTCCGAACGGGAAATCAAGCTAGAAAAAAGCCTAGAACACAAATTTAACGAAAAATAAAAGCGCATTTGGTACGTTTCATTTGAAATTAAAATACTAGGGAAAACTTGGGGTGACTTAAGGCAAAATTTAAGGTAGTTCCCCCACAAACTTTAAGGTAAACTTGAGGTGAGTTACGGTAGTAGTTGAGTTGACTTGAGGTAAAGTTAAGCTGAGCACTTTTTGCCGTAACTGTTGAGGTAACTTAAGGTAATTCTTAAGGTAAATTTACCTGAACTTTTTTAGAGTGTTTGCTGAAAACGCCAAAAAATGAGAAAAAAATCACTTTGAGGCTAAATTAAGTAACTATGTTACGTTTTTTACCAGTAATAGAATAATATATTGCATGTCTTAATAACGGTGTCCCAATCTTGTCTGGTACTGAAAACTCTGAGAGTTTTGCCTCAACAAATAGACGACAAGCCGCTGATTTTTTTCCCACGAATGTGCTCAGTTTTTGTGGTTTTTGTAATTTTCTTCATTTCCGCTAAGCGTAACGATAAAACCTTGTGGTCTGTTTTTATCTTGAGAGGCATTCCAAAAAAAGTCCGATCATGCGCTACCACCCAAATCCACTGTATTCTATGCAAATTCTATTCTGCTGTTTCAATTCGGCTTTATTCAAAAAATCTTAAGGCATAAGAAACTGATTCTCAATACTCTAGGGTGATTTTTCTTCGTCCGCACTTGATCCCGCTTTACACGCATTGAGTTTCACGCTGTTTTTGTTTTTCACGTCAAATTGATGATTTTGAACAATGTGGGATCTTTTTATAACCAGATATGTAGATATTCGGCTGGGCGGTCAATATCCTACGGCGAACTGTTTTATAGCCAAAAATGGGCAGAGAGATATATTGAGGGAAAATGCCATCCTGGGGTTAGGGACTGAAGTTTGTTCAAAGTGGACAAACTAGAAAATCAAAAAAATCTGGCCAAGTTTTATCGAAAGTCGAGGAACTAATGCTGAACTATTGAAAGACGGTAATGCAGCTTTTTGTACGTAAGCCTTAATATTGCCGACAGTGTTGTTCTTATAGAGGGATGGTTCTGCGAATATGGCACACACAGCGAACATTAAGTATTTAGCAGATCTATCGTAATAGATATCGAATGCTTAATTTGAGCGAGTTTGTTGATAACGTAACACTGGACATCATTGGTAACACAAAGTACTCAGCTTGGTTTTCGGAAATCATTTTAAAAATGCATTTTCCAAGATGAAGTTGAGCGCAAAAATGAGCAAACAGTGCAAAATTTTTCTTATGGCGACATGGTTTCACCTGTAATGATAGCTTCAACACAAATTTTATGGTTTGGGTGACGTGCCAAATGAATTCCAGAAGTTTTTTGGTTCAATGGTAGGCCATTGGTCACGGTTCGATGTTTATTTGCTACCGGTTAGCAATGCGGGGGTCAGATTGAGCACAAGTGGAGGACAGTTTACAAATACATTTATATATATATATATATATATATATATATATATATATATATATATATATATATATATATAATAAGTAAATATATATTTTTTAATTTTTATATATAATTATATATATATAGACTGTTTCCTCGTTTTTGTGCTCAACTTCATATATATATATATATATATATATATATATATATATATATATATATATTGGAAATATATTGGTATATGTAAATAAATATATATATATATATATATATATATATATATATATATATATATATATATATATGTGTGTGTGTGTGTGTGTGCGTGTGTGTGTGTGTGTGTGTGTGTTTGTGTGTGTGTGTGTGTGTGTGTGTGTGTGTGTGTGTGTGTGTGTGTGTGTGTGTGTGTGTGTGTGTGTGTGTGTGTGTGTGTGTGTGTGTGTGTGTGTGTGTGTGTACATACATATAAGGCCCTCCATTTTCAGAAGAATTTTCGGGCAAATATATGACAAACGAGTCTCCAATTTAATTATTTCTCGCTCAAAAACATTGTCATCGGTCATTTCATTGTCGTATAAGTTTTGTCAGACACTCGCAGTATTTCAAAAAGCTGTTCCACAATCTGAGTCTCGGGTTGGTAACTTGTATCAAATACATATTGAATTGTGATACAATTAATTTGCCCATACCATAAAACTTTGTCTTGAACGTATCATTATACAATAAACCCTGTCGCTATAATAAAGAAATTTCACGATTCGCTCGTTTTTGCGCTCAGCTTCATCTTAAAAAATGCATAATTGATTTTTGATTTCTAAATTGAGCAAGTAGTGATACCAATCATATCCAGTGTTACGTTATCATCAAACTCGCTCAAATTAAGCATTTGGTATCTAATACCGTAAATCTGCTAGGTTTTTAACTTTCGATTTGAGCAATTATCACAGAACTGTCCCTTTTTGCAAGCAACACTATCGGTAAAATAAAGTCTTCCGTACAAGAACCGAATTATTAAAATACCGCCTTTTAATAGCTCTGCAATAGTCTCTTGACTCTAATTTGTCTAGAATCTTGTTGTTCCGGCTTTCGATACGAAAGTAACGGAGTATTTGTGCTCGAGTTGGGTTTTTTTTCTTCAGGCAATTTTTAACTAGCCATTTTTGACGGAATTTTTTTTATATCATTCGAAAGGAATTGTTGTCATGAGCTCAAACTTGAAAAGATGTTTCACCTGTGATCGTTTTTCGTAAAGTTATGGGGGTTTAAAGATTGCCATTTTGGCCAATCTGAGACATTTTTTTTTGCGCGCGAAATATTTCGCGCTATTAACGCGTAAAGGAGATTTAATCCGTCTTAAAAATTGTTCCAAATTGATTGAAAGAAGCCTATTTGAAACAGCAGTCTTGTTTTAAATTTTATGCTGAATTGGTAAATGATATTTTCAATAGCTCCATGGGCTGCAATGGCTGTCTGTCAGAGTTATGTTCATTTTCTTAGTTTGTAAGCCTTGAACAAACTTAAGTACCCAACCCCACGGGAACATTTTCGCCCAATATATCTCTCTGGCTTTTTGATTTACCACCCTGTCGACTCTTAACGAAAGATTGCTTGTCCACGCATTTATTGCGCCGTCAATGGCTCGCTAAAAATTTTTCTTGAGTTCTGGTTGTCTTAAAGGAATTGATAACATCCTATCACTTATCTTGAGATGACGCAACTTTTATCTGCAAAAAATGGCTCTGTTGGCCCAATCGATCCGAAATTCGCTTACTCAGACATGCTTGCTTAAGTTTGCTGACAAAAATGGTTAGTTCTCTTTATCCGCCGCGTCCCGCACGATGTTTGTTGAAAATACGCCGAACTCTTCGACCCATGATTCTTCCTCACAAATCCGAATGTCGTTGCAGTTTTTTTACTCCGAGCATTCTCCATTGCCATTGACCGCGTTGACTGCGGGTTCAATTTTAAAATGTTTCATAAAATGACTCCTAAATTACGATTTTTGTAAGCAATGTTTCTACCTGGGCGTCTTTTCCGGTGAATTAGTTTATAAGCCTATTACCGCAATTATGGCAGTTATCTTTTGCCTGGCTTGTAATTATTGTTTCTTTCTATACTCGAGTGTCATGTTTAATATGAACGTGTTCGTGGCGACTAAATTCTTCTTACTCCCGAAGTCTCATCCTACAATCAAATTTGTCAAGGCTCTATAGAACTGCTTCAACGTCTCTTTGTTGCAGACCGAAAATAATAAATCTAAGCTTCGAAAAGTTCACTTCTTTCACAGAAGCGTCCTCCATCTTCGCCCATTGTTTAATGAGGTTGACATCAAAACTTTTTATATACGGGAACTTCTGGTAAGAAAAATGCAGTCTACCCTTGCAGCTTTTCCAATGACAAAAACATTAAAATTTGAGCTTTTTGTCCACTTTTCTCCGATTAATTTTTTTTCAGTCAAGCCGTCTGTTTTCTTGTTTTTGCCATAGTCTAACTTGCTCCTCGTTACTTGCCTCTCGATCTTTGTCATTCCCTTTCTCTCCCTCTACCGGATCTTCCATTTTCGGATGCAGATTCGTTGCATACACGATTGGAAATAAGATGTGGCCTATATTGATTTCTTCTTGCTCTATAAAATCAGCTGAAATCGTTGTGCCCACTCGTTCCGCAAGGAATAGCCGGCGCGTGGAGGGAGGGGAAGGCAGAAGGTTGGAGGCGGGTGGAGGGTGTCGGGCGATGACTTGTCTCTCCCCGCAATTTAGGTGGTCAACTTTTCCAAAACGTCCCTATTTTACGGCCTCCATCAGTTTTTGGTTGACCAACCCAATAATTTTTTCAAAGGAGTATTTGGCGCCAACATACACTTAGTTTGAGATGGGATAGCGCGTCCCTAAAAAATTTCCAAAAAACGCCCTCTAACGTTATTTTTCGTCTTTTTTTTTAAATTTGCCGCATAAAGTTTGGCTCAAAGTTCGTCTCAAAAACTGACAACGAAAAAATCGAAAAAGCACCCCCTTGAAAAATTCTTGCGCACAGTAGTACTGAGGACAACTAAACATGTTTTGAGTCTCTCGTATGTTCGAAAAATCCGATCGACTTTTTTTGATAGGCTTGCGTGATTTTGCAACTTTGTAATGGACTATGGAGACGTTTACAGCGTGCAGACAGTTTGAACTGAATTGAGACTTATGAAATGAGGAATTGAGCCTGTTAGCTACCTCCTGCCATGCTTCACTTTCTTACCATTTGCGCCGTTTCTTTCTTCCGTTATTAATTCCTATTTTGCTCTTTTCATTTGCATACCCGCTATTCAACCAACAGCACTAGTAAATTCCTCAGTAGTCCTTTTCCATTGCTTTCTTTTCAGCCCTCCCAACACTTTCAGCTCTGTATATATATATATATGTGTGTGTGTGTGTGATAAGTAAAACCGATCAACCGTACGTTTGTTGAAGGAACTTAACAGTTCACACAAGGGACAAAAAACATTACCCCGTTCACTTCTTATAGCTTTCCCTCTCTTTCTCTCTCCCTTCTCCAACTTAAATTCGATTCCACTGGCTTTTATTTGTCGTACCCCCTTCTTCTAAGCAGAAACGAATAAGCCTTTGTAGATGCCAGGCACAGTTAAAGGCACAGGGTGCCAAGATCCATTCTGACTGTGTAGTTGTGCAGCCTTGTTCTTTATCTTACAAGAGGTTTAAAAATTACAGTTGCTTTAATTGGCTTTTATTATCGTTCATTTTCTTGCAAAAGTTCTCTTCTTTTTTTTACTTCTCATTTTTGTCTTAACTTTTTAAGAAATTGAATACAGAGATCATTGAAACTTCTTACTATTTTAATAAAGCCATTTTAATAGAGTATTGGAAGCCATTTAGAGATAACAACGCAAAAGCAACAACAATCACGTAAGCATTGAAGTACTAATTAAGGGGAGAGGAGGCGTTTTTTAGACATGGTCGAGACCCAGAAAATCTCAAATTCTATTAGGTGCAGAACTAAAAATTATACTTAGCGCTGGACAACAAAGTGAGCTCTAATTTTTAACTTAGGCTTAGAAAAATTTCATTCTTTGCCAAAAATCTCAATTTTTTTCATCAGAAACTAAAGGTTATTGATCCGGCCATTGAAAATGGGGAAGAATTTTGCATTGAAGTGTGTTTTCGTTTTTCCCCCCTTTTTTTATAGTTTTTTTAAATAATTTTCTATCCCATCACATACAAAAAGAAGTTTTTGTAGATTTGGCGGTCGGAACATTCTGTGCTACCTTGTTTCAAACTGCCTTGATTTGATACCTCATACTGCCTTGAACCTTGTTTCATACTGCCCTGAGTTGATCAAAGGAGACACTGTACTGTTTTTGGTTTTAGTTGAGTAAAACCAAACAGTACCTTCCCGAATTTCCAACCCTATAAATTTCTAAATCGCTTAAAATAAACTTATTTGAGAATAATATGATAACAAGACTGCTCGTATCATGATAGTTTTGATGGCCCCTTATGCTTTAATTGAGAAAAATTCAGTATTATTCACATTACTGGTTGAGTTTTCCACTGCACACAAAATATCAAGATGAAAATGACAAATGACTGAGCGTATTAGGACAAAGTTCTGAGAGATATGACTGTTTTAAAGGTCACTGAAGTGGTATTCACAAAAAAAAATTTAATGAAAAAAATTTTTTTTTGAGATTTTTTGTTTGAAAATCATCCCTCCACATGCTCGTAAAGTACAAAATTATAGATTTTGCATTTAACAAAGTGTTAAATGCAACAAATAACATAACTCAATTCATATTGAAACAATTTTTGAAACGGAATAAATCTCCGCTTACACGTTAATAGCACGAAATATATCGCGCATTAATTGTCCTAATTTGCTCAAAGTGGCAATCCTTACACCCTCACAACTTTACGACAATTGATTACAGGTGAATAGTTTTTCAAATTTAAACTTAGGACAAAATTAGTTTTCAAATTGTGTTTTTAAAAAATTACCATCAAAAATTGCTAGTTAAAAAATCGAAATTTGTCTGCAGAAAAAAATCACCCCAAGCTCAAATATTCCGTCTTTTTCTTAGATGGTTGGTTGGACCAGTAATTATGAGCGAGTAACCAAACTTTAGTACAAAATTATTCTGCGATTAAATTTAGAATAAAACAGGACTTAATTTTGAGGTCACATAAAAGTTTTTTGCTTGAATAATTGACGAAATAAACGAAAAAGAAAAATAGATAAAAATATTTCTTCATTTTTTCTTTATGTTTTATTGAGCGTATGGGGGAATAAAATGAAGGCTGTGTCTAGCATCATTTTGGAACGCATTAACAAGCAGCTAGCGTTTTATAAGAACGCAATTTATCGCGCGTTAATTATACCAAATTAGCAATTTTCAAACCCCTACATTCTTACTAAAAATGATTTCAGGTAAAAAGATAGTTTCAGTTCAGTAATAATTTGTTGATAAGTTTCTGGCGTTGAAAATTTGAATATCAAAAATTCAAACGGTTTTTTTTATGGAAAAACTGCGCTATTATGACTACTAAAACCATGAAATGTAAATTGATGCAAATTCAGACAAGACTGCTCGTATCAATGCGAAGCTTTGAATGTTTCGACTGCTTTTTAAGGTCTATTGGGCAGTAACCACATGAAAATTAAATGATTAAAAATAAAATGATTTTTTTTAATTCGAGATTTTTTGTGAAAATCATTCCCCACACGGGCTCTTTTTCCTTTTTCCCCCACCTCACAAAAGTATCGATTTCATGTTGTAACGAGTGGTTTTACAAGGTTGAGTATGAAAGTTAAATAAGTTTGTCATGGCCTAATCAGTCCGTATGCCAAATTTGATAACAATTCGACAATGTGAACAGAAAAATTACTCTAAAAAATTTGCAGGCGGGGAGAAAAGGAAAAAGAGCCCCCACACGCCATATAAAGTACGTAGTAACAAACAAACAATATAAAGTACGTAGTAACAACTATGACAAATCAGCTTCCTTCAACCAATTTGGAACGATTTCTAAGACGGATTAAATATCCGCATACGCGTTAAAAGCCCGAAATATACCGCGCGTTAATTGTCCCAAATTGGCCAAAATGGCAATCTTTAAACCCCATAACTTTACGAAAAAAGTTCGCAGGTAAAATATCTTTTCAAATTTAGGCTCAGAATAACAACAACTTTTGAATGATAAAAAAAATTCTGTCAAAAATGGTTCGTTAAGAAGTCGAAAAATGTCTGAAGAAAAAAACCCACCCCGAGCACAAATATTCCGTTATTTTCGTTACGAGGGTCGGATTAAAATTAGCTTTATACAAACATCGACTAGCCTAACAAGACTGCTAATTTCATGGCAAATCACTGAATTTTTACGACAGCCCTATCACGTCTAAGAAATAATTTTTGATAAAATCTTTTAAATCTTTCAGTTTTTTAAATCCCCTCTCGCGCTCTCTACAAAAAATAGCTCTTTAGCGTCCAGCTGTGTAATAATAAAGCCAAAGCTTGCATCAACCCAGTTTGAATCGCCTTTAGACTTTGATACCAAGAATTATAATGCATGCTAATTGTTTCTAATTGACAATAACTCTAGCAGGTGAAATATCTCTTTCATTTTCAACTCAGATTATCAATAGTTTTCAGATGGTATGAATTTTTTTTATTAGTGGCTAGTTCAAACGTCGACTTCTGTCGGAACAAAGAGAATCAGACCAACTAATTTTTTTTTCATTTTCGTCCAAAGTCTTTCTATCGGTTGTTTCTACTTTTTTCGGAACAACGAGAAACAGGCCAACTAATTTTTTTTTTTCACTTTTGTCCAAAGTCGGAACAAAAAACTTTTTTTTTCTTTCTATCTGCTTCCGCGTTAGTCTAATTTACACATCCGGTTGCAATCGTAAACGTTTGAACCGCATCACGATCGTGTTACATTGTTCTAAAGCATGCTTTTAGATTATAACAAAAAAGAGCGAAGAAAGGAAATGAAAAGGAAAGGTAAGTGATTCGCAGAAGGGAAAAAGAAGGAAAAGGTAATATGGGGAATTGATGAAGGGAGGAAGCGAGGAGAAAGTAGTAACTCTGTCTGGTTACTTATAGAAATAAACCTCCACACCTCATTTAAAATTCACTTCCTCCCTCTCAGTATTCTTGTGACGTCAATTGAAAAAAATTAAACGGCGGCGACAACACAAAAAAGGGACAAAGTACAGCCAGAAAAAAGACAACAATTTTTGCGAAGAAGAGTGAAAATGAATGAGCATGGTAAGCTATGGTGTGACTTGAAGACAATACAGGCACGGCGCCAACTCATACAATTTATTCAATTCCGTGTATTGTACCATCTAACTTCATAAATTTCTCATCTGTTTTAAATCTAATCGCTATATGAGATAAATTATTGCTGCAAACATCAATTTTTCTGAACATCGCCGCTTTTTGTTCTGTCTTTCAAAAAAAGTGATCATCTATTTGTGCTCGGGTTGGTTATTTTTAGTTATTTAGAACGTTTTTAATGTTGAGCAGCCAAAAATGATACTCGTAAAATTATACCAAAGGGAGGACCCTTTGGAAAATTTTGGCTACCAGAGTCGAATATAATGAAAAAAATGAATTATAATAGATAATGATTTGTAATGATGTTTTGAATATTGAATTTAAAATCCCCTAAAAACCCATTTTCATGGTTGGATGAACAATAAAATTCGATAATATTCATAACAACCGATTTTCCCCAAATTCAAAGTGTCATTACAATCCATTATAATATATGTACTCCATTTTTTTCAGTATATTAAATTTTTTGTTCAAAAAATCCACGAAAAATGATTTTTTTTTTTGCAAATCTGAAATGTTTACTCTATTTTTTGCACCAGTCTGCAAAACTAAGACCCGACCGATTATGTTCCTTTATAAGTACCCCCTTCCCAAAAAAAAACAAAATTTCACACTCACATCCCCCTTTCCCCTTTCACACCCACCACCACAACCCATTCCACAAAAACTCCCTGTCGCCACCGTTAAATTAGGCATTCAAGTTCAAACTAAATCATATCTACATATCATTCTGTCATTCATTTTTGCTCCCCTTCGGTGCTAGCCATCAGTGACAGGTACTGGCTTTCGGAGTGTCTGACTTCGTTGGTTGACCGCTCAAGCATCATCGTTTTGACCATAGATACAATTGAGTTGCTTAACTTGGGATTTTATTGAAGGTACTAAATGAAGTTTTCAACATGGTGCAGCAAGCAGTACTTAAAGGAGGAAAACCCACTGCGGATTACGTCTTTCTTGCCAAAGAAACCCGCCGAACCACCGATGCTGTGGAAATTTTGTATACATCGCTTTCGGTGGGGAATACTCTATTATTTCAGCAATTTTTTACTTTGGGGACACCCTTACGGCGGCGCAGATAGGGGCTCTAGCGGCGGACAAAGACGTGAAATATAGAGTGGAATCGAAGCAAACACTGATCTCTAATCTACACATGTTTCTGGGGGAACAAGGTCGAAACGAACTGTATAAAAGGATACCGCACTTTGATCTGGTGGTCACACGCTACTCGAGGGTACTGGATGCGGTCGAGCGAGAATTCAAAAAGGAAGGAAATGAGATTTACAAGATCTTTCAACTGCTATTGCAAAAAAAAAACGAATCAGCGAAACACTGGACAATTTCACTCCTGCTAAGCGGTCTCATGGCTACGTTCAACTTCGGAGCGCTGGAAACCCGGATTTTGATGGATGTGTTCACGGTGATTGTGACAAACCGCGGAGCCCAAAATGAGCTGTGTAGATCGACGAAAACCCCGGAGGAGGTGTATCGAATGGTGTTGTCGTACGAGCGGGGGAACAATTACGCAAAGACGTCAATTGCAGTTGAGGGAGCACCAGCAAGCGGACCGAC